CTCGGCGGCGAGCAAAGAGATGAGCAAGACCAAGGTGGGGGCCCCCTCTTATTATTGGAAGCCAAAACCTTCGGATGAAACATTGTTTCTACAATGGCGGACTTCATCTTTCTCAGCCTCCATGGGCCGCCACCAGGAAGCAAGACCCCCGAGAAAAACACGATCAGCGACGAAAAACGTGAAAAAACAAACATCGAAAACTATGATGGAGAAACCAAGAGGTACCCATGCAGCTACTTTCAGGACCTCTCCTGGGGTGCGTGCTGACAAAGACTTCGAGGCGAATCCAGCGGTGGCGACGAGGGCCTCCCAGGAGGCCCAAAAAGGGGAGCACGCTGGAAAGGTAGTGGTATGGGCACCTGTCCCTCCTCTGCTCAGAGGGACACGTGACTGTCAAGAAAACAGTCCGCCGGAAACCCGTGGAAGGCCTCCCGCACCACGTCTCGGAGAGCAGCAGATGGGGTCGGAGGATCCTCCGTGGCTCCTGGAGGCATCCGGGAGCAAGGAGAAGCGCAGGAAGCGCCCCCAAAACCTTTGCGCTCCACGGTTCGACAAGCGCGTTCCACTACTCCCAAAGTAAAGACTGGCAAATGGCCTGGATTCGCCGCGGTGTGATTCGCGATCCATCATATCGAGGCGACAGCGTGTCTTCTGGAAGTTTGCGAGCAGGCCATTTGCGAGTAGTGGACCGCGGTCGGCGATCAGAGCAGACGGGGTCGGAAGATCGCACGGTATCGCCGCTGCACTGGCGATGGTACTACAAAATTGAGAACATCGGACTCCAGATCGCACCGCATCGCCGATGCATCACCGATGTGAACCTGTCATCTGGCCCCATCTGCTCCGACTGGAGGCCCAGAATCCCTGGACATCCGACGTCGTGCTTCTTTGCGCAACGCGGCCCACCAGGGCCGACAACTGTAAGACACCGTCCGTGCAGATTACCTGAGGATGCTACTCAGGTAAGGCACGCCAATAACAGCAAGGGTGCAGAGGCGGGTCGAGGAAAAGGGTGAGAGCACCTCAATATCCACCTTGTTATATTTTAGATGGGGGCCGTGAGGACTAACCATGTAGCCAACATTGAGCGAGAGCACGATCCCTGAATACATCAAGACACCGTCTCAGGCGAAATGGCTTCCAGACCGGGCGATCTCGACCGGGCGGTCTCGGACTACACGTCCCCACTGTGGACCTCTTCTGTGGTCCATTAACTAAGCTATCAGAACCCTCGTGCGCAACGCTGCTGGGGCTGAGAAACTGCTTCAACATGTACACCCTGCGACATGCTTAAGAAATCATGGGTTAAGAAATTCATAGTCTCAGAACTTGAATAAAAACCCAGAACTTCTATCAAAATCTTGGGATTTACATTGAAAAGTTAAGAATAATCGAGACTCTGGACGAAAACTTAGGTTTTCTTAAGCATCGCCTAAGGTGTACTGTCGGAGCTCCGCGCGGATCTTTCGGATCTGCGCTGGCATCCCTCCCCTGGCGCGCGGAGCGATGACGCCAGGGGAGCCCCAGCGCTGACTCAAGGTACTACGCGGAGCTCCGAACATGTGTGCTAGTGCCGCTTCCCGATCTTCGAACAATCGTCCGCTTGGACTTCTCTTACGACGCGAAACTGTCAGTGCGAGAGCCCTTTCCTGTACGCCATCGGGGTGCGTTATGACCAGGATTTCGATATGAATACATCCGCGAAAATGAGGGACTCCCTGGAGGCCCAGTGAGGCGAAAACGCGAGAAGGCTTGCGGCAACGGCCCCGCTTCCCACTTTGCTTCTCACGACGCGAGGCTGTAGTAGGAGGCGACCTTCAAATCCTACCCCCACCAACCATACATTGTCCTGGCTCAATGGGAGGCGGGTGTAGGGTGCGCATTTCGTCACGTGCTCGACGAACTGCGAACCCTTCCCCCGTAACTCGAGTTGTCTGAATCGTTGATCGGCGAGGGTATGATTATGTTCGCAACCGATTCTCTGGACACGGAATCACTGGACCTCTCCGGACCTCTCCCCAGGGTGCGTTCCGCCCAGAATTCGAGGCGAATCCAGCGGTGGCGACGAGGGCCTCCCAGGAGGCCCAGACAGGCGAAAACAAGGCAAGGCCAGCGGTATGGGTACAGGTTTCTTGGAAGCTCATTCTGGGGATCTTCCTGGAGACACTCGCTCGACTCGTGCGTCGAAGCTGCGTCAAATGTCCGCCGATTTGAACCGACCTTGAGTCGGACCTGAATCGAACCTGAATCCGACCTGAGTCGAACTTGAGTCGGACTCGAGTCGAAATTGAGTCGAACTGTAGTCGAACTGGAGCCGAACAGATCCGCCGTGTGTGCCCCTGGACGATCTCCGAAACGAGCATGCCAGCTACCTTTCCCTCGTCCGAGGCCAGGCATCGGCGATTCATCGGCGATGCGTCGGCGATAAACTGGCAACGTCGGTGATGCACTGGCGACGTCGGCGTGGAGAAACTCGGGCTCCACATCGAGCAGCATCGCCAACGCATCAGCGATGCGGCGTGATCCCCCGACCCCACCTAGGAGGCCTAGATCCCAGGAGGCCCGAAGAGGCGAAACCGAGGCAGGGGCAGCGGCATGGGCACCGTTCCCCAGAGATCCGATGTTGAGATTCTCTCAGTGCGGAACCTCTGGAAGTCCCGACCCTTGCCCCCAGAGCGGGTTTGCATCCTGAGCTGTTCTTTGACAGCCCCGGGTCCCGTCGAGGGCCTCCCAGAGGCCGAAACAAGCGAAAAGCCTCCGACTCGATGTGTTCAATACTTTGGATCTCTTTGGAGTCCCGAAACGGTGCGGTAACGAACCGTGCGGTGACCTCGAAATCCCCCAAGACCTCACCGCACGGTCCGTCACCGCACGGTGTTGGGACCTTGGAGGCCCCTGTCGCCCAAGACGTCCTCGGAGAACGACCCAAGTCCCAAAACCGTGTGGTGACCCCGGATCCCAACCGACTCCGCGCACGGTGTGGTCACCGGACCGTTTGGGGGCCCCCAAATCTCTGGGCACACGGGGGCAAGGTAGCGGTATGGGCACCTGCTCCCTCCTCCGAGGCCAGGGGGCCTCCCCCAGTCGCGCCCGCGCTTCGGAGCGCGCGGGGGGGGAGGGGGAGGAGGACGAGGAGGACGAGGAGCAGGAGGAGGAGGAGGACGAGGAGGAGGAAGAGGAGGAGGACGAGGATGATGATGATGATGCTGAGGAGGTGGAGGAGGAGGAGGAGGAGGAGGAGGAGGAGGAGGAGGGTAGGAGGAGAGGAGGAGAGGAGGAGGAGGAGGAGGAGGAGGAGGAGGGAGGAGGAGGAGGAGGGGGAGGAGGAGGAGGAGGAGGAGGAGGAGGGGAGCAGAATGAGGCGGAGGAAAAAAGGATGAGTAACAGAAGCAGAAGGAGGGGAGGAGGAGGAGGAGGACGACGAGGAGGAGGACCAGCAGCGGGAAGAGCATGAGGAGCGGGAGGACGAGGAGAAGGAATAGGAGAGGAGGAGCTAGGAGGAGGAGGAGGAGGAGGAGGAGGAGGAGGAGGAGGAGGAGGAGGAGGAGGGAGGAGGAGGAGGAGGAGGAGGAGGAGGAGGAGGGACGAGGACGAGGAGGAGGAGGAGGAGGAGGAGGACGAGGAGGAGGAGGAGGAGGAGGAGGAGGAGGAGGAGGAGGAGGAGGAAGGGGGGGGAGGATGAGGTGGAGCTGGGGTGGTGGGAAGAGGAGGGGGAGGGGGGGGGGGGTAGGGGGGAGGAGGGAGGGAGGAGGAGGAGGAGGAGGAGGAGGAGGAGGAGGAGGAGGAGGAGGAGGAGGAGGAGGAGGAGGAGGAGAGGGAGGAGGAGGAGGAGGAGGAGGAGGAGGAGGAGGAGGAGAGGAGGAGGAGGAGGAGGAGGAGGAGGAGGAGGAGGAGGAGCCCCGATTGCTTTCTCACCACCACACACCGAGTACTGTGCGGGAAACCGTTCTCCGTGTCCTCACCATTACGGCGCAGTCATGGCTCCTGCTGGGGCTCCTGATTTCTCTCGTTGGTGTTGTGGCCACAAGAGGTGCGGTTACCAGTACAACTACAGCTGGCGCAAGAACTGTTACAGATGCGGTCGCCCAGCAGGGCGGCAGCCCGACGCATCCTTCGGCAATGGCAGTGGCAAACGTGATCTGGGCGCGTGGGCCAAGGGGCCTCCGTCTGGGCAGCAGCTGTCCCTGTCCGAAGAGCAGGTGCAGATCTATGCGAAGATGGGCGTGTCCGATTTTGAGCATATCGCGGAAGGATGGCCCACCAAGCAGCTCAACCGAGTGCTGGCGCAGCGTGCGTTGCTCAATGGAGAGCCTCGTGCATCTGCTAAAGCTGCTCGTTTGGATCAAGATTTGTATGAAGATAAAAAGTCCAAAGCCCAGCGTGCTTTGGATCGTGCGAATGATGCTGTGTTCAAAGCGGTGGCTCATGCGGCAAAGTGCAAAAAGGATCTGGAGGAAGCTGAGGCAGCTGCTAAGGCTGCTTCAGCCAGGGCCGCTGCTGCCTTCGCCGCCATGGGCCAGGTGGTTGAGCCTGCCGACCCGCTCGCGCAGCTCAAGCAGCTGGTCGCCTCGCTCACCGCCGTCCAGGGGAATCCCAAGGCCGCCGAGGTCGCCGACGCGCTCAGCAACCTCGTGCCCGTGCTGCTCGAGGCGGTTCCCACGGCTGCTGAGCCTGCTGGTGTCTCTCAGCCGCCTGAGCCTGTGGCTCCTGGTGGGGGACGCGGGCCCGAGGCCGCGCAGGCTCAGCCAGGCGCAGCTGAGGAGCCCGCCATGGAGGTCGACAGCAGCGCCGCGGCTGCCTTCGCTGCTGAACGCGCCGCTGCAGCCGCCCAGCAGCAGGAGTTCCTGGACTACCTCCAGCAGGCGCAAGCAGGTGACACGCCCGAGATGGTCCAGCCCATGGAGAAGCATGGGGTCAAGCACGAGCTCATGGCGGACATCTTCAATAACGTCAGGAACCAGGCGCTCAAGAAGCTGCGCGTGGACGATGGTGACACAGTC